CATCCCTTGCATTCCATGGACAACCAGGCTTGACCTACTCAGCTATCTTTAGATAAAAAAAAATAAATGTTGCATTTTATAGAAAAGTAGACTAGAGCTTTCAAGCCAGTGAACCATAGCACCCTGGGGTGCTAGAGAATTACTTGTGTATACATAAGTGATCTATGCTTCAGTCCTAAATCAGTCACATGAGACCTAGAGCAGCCCAAACCTCAGAGCAGTTTTCATACAATTACCTCACAGTGCCATATTATCGTTTTCTAGGTGTGCTATATAATATGAAAGGATTTGTGAAAGATTACTATCAATGATTGTATACTGTGGAAATATTAACTGATCTTATTTAGTTATAATATTTTCCTTTGCAAAGATGTTCGTATCTATCTACGGCTAAAAACGGAGGTAATGTCTACTGCCTTTTACTCAATACAAATGCTGTTGATTTCAAGTAGGAGCTATTTTTTAAAATGTTTTAATTGATGTAGCTCCTTCCCAAAGTGTTGAGGAGAAGCTGTTAACCTATCTAATTCCCTCCATGAGAACAGGGAAATGTATTTTGGTCTCTTCACTATCCTCAGTTCCTAGCATGGTGCCTAGCACATGGTAGGCACCCAATAAATATGTGTTGAATAAATGAACAGTTGTACAAATGAATGAATTTGCACTAAACCACCCATAATGTCACAACCCATCCCATTTATAATCCATGGCAAATATCTGAAATTCAGATGGCTGTGGCAAGAAAAAGGAAGATTCACATGCGCAGGCTTCACTCATTAACATCAACCCTTTTATCAACTGAGGTAACTAATCAGAGAAGTGTTTTACCTCTAGGTGTGTATTTGTATTTTTATTGCTGATGTCTTATTTTTATTAAGTTTTTAATTTTAATTCCAGTATAGTTAACATACAGTGTTATATTAGTTTCAGATGTACAATATAGTGACTCAACACTTCCATACATCACCCAGTGCTCATCAGGACAAGTGTACTCCTTAATCCCCATCACCTATTTGACTCATCCCCCCACTCACCTCCCCTCTGGTAACCATCAGTTTGCTCCCTATAGTTAAGAGTCTGTTTCTTGGTTTGCTTCTCTCTTTTTTCCCTTTGCTCCTTTGTTTTGTTTCTTAAATTCCACATATGACTGAAATCATAATCCATCTCTGATGGATTTATTTCACTTAGCATAGTACTCTCTAGCTCCATCCATGTTGTTGTAAATGGCAAGATTTAATTCTTTTTTTATGGCTGAATAATATTGCAGTGTGTGTGTGTGTGTGTGTGTGTACCACTTCTTTATCCATTCATTTATCAGTGGACACGGGCAGCGTCCATATCTTGGCTATTGTAAATAATGCTGCAATAAACAGGGGTGCATGTATCCCTTTGAATTAGTGTTTTTGTATTTTTTGGGTAAGTACCCAGTAATGCGATTCCTGGATCACAGAGTAGATCTATTTTTAACTTTTTGAGCAACCTCCATATTGTTTTCCAGAGTGGCTGCACAAGTTTCATTCCCACAAACAGTGCAGGAGGGTTCCTTTTTCTCCACATCCTTGCCAACACTTGTTTCTTAAGTTTTTGATTTTAGCCATTCTGACAGGTGTGATGTCTTATTAAAGTTAGGGGATTCTTTTGTTTAGAAATGGGATAAAGGGCCTCTATGCTCTTATGACAAGTGTTTTTGTTATGGTCAATTAGCCAGCATATAGTACATCATGAGTTTTTGATGTAGTGCTCAACGATTCACTAGTTGCGTATAACACCCAGTGCTCATCACAAAACGAGACTGTTCTAGCACTGTTCTTCTTAGTTCAATAAAGAAAAGAATCTCTTTTCAAAAATGTTTCTAAAAGCACTAACATTATTGTGTATGCTGTTCTACTGTCTAAGCCCCAGTCATACAGCATTAAGATGGAGTGCTGAAAGTAGAGGCCCTCTCCTCACTTCCTTTTGCTAACTGATAGAGTTTAGATAGAGGAGATACAACCCTCTTACACATATCTCTTACATTCCAAGAACAACAACAACTTACTCAGTCATCTTTATGTACATGCCCCAGTGCCACCTGATCCGCCTCTACCTTCCTATCCAGCTGTGATTACATGCAGGCACAGAAGGACAGTCCTCAAAGGCCTACCCTAGCATATTTCAGACGGCTTAGAAACACATAACAGAATGTGAGCATGACACAAATTTATTAGAGAGTAAGAAAAAAGCAGAAATGGATATAAAAGAAGCAAGTTTAAAGATTACATATATTTAAAAAGATGACTTGGAAATTGATCATGCAACACACATACGTTTTACTGTTAAAATAGTGGAGATAATACATTGTACATTTCTAAATTTGGATGTACACCAGAATGAAGTCTGGGCAAACGTCTTTACATTGTGGTAGCTGGAGCAAAATCACTTTATGCTCAGCCTGGGAGGGCACACAGAGACTATAAAGCAAGCAGGTAAGATTATTAAACTATTGATTGGAAAAGGAAACATTTTCCCATTACATCAATACATTTTTTTCAATGATATACTTTGGAACTGTGAGAAGCAGGGTTAACAACACATTTGGGAGCTTTAGGAATTCTTTAACTTTGGGGTTTAGTTTTTTATTCTGATCCATTAGTATAGTACAGTGACTAAAAGAATGGGCCCAGGGTGCCTGGGTGGCTCAGTTGGTTAAGCGACTGCCTTCGGCTCAGGTCATGATCCTGGAGTCCCGGGATCGAGTCCCGCGTCGGGCTCCCTGCTCGGCAGGGAGTCTGCTTCTCCCTCTGACCCTCCCCCCTCTCATGTACTCGCTCTCTCTCATTCTCTCTCTCTCAAATAAATAAATAAATAAAAATCTTTAAAAAAAAAAAAAAAAAAAAGAAGAATGGGCCCAGTAGCCAAAATGCAAGTCATAAACTGCTGTGTGACTTTTGTTAAGTCACTTAACTTATCTGAGTCTCCAGTCACTTCTGGAAAATGGGGATAATAATAATACCTACCTAATACAGTAGTCTAGAGACCTAGTTAATCTATCTAAAGCACTTAAAACAGAGCCTGGCATATAGTGAGCACTCAACAAATGTTAGTTATCATTGTGATTAATATTTGTCAATTGTAAAATGTTATAGAAATCTTAAAAGTTACTGTACAAGCAGAGCTAGAAAAGCCATTTGCTTCACCATCTTTGGTCCATTTCTAAGAATGATACTTAGCATTTCCCAAGGAAGAAATTGCTTTGTTATACAATGATGATAGTGATGTCTAGAGATGTGAAGAAAGAAGAAAGAATTTAGTAGAAAAGTAAGAAGATGAGACAGTAGAATATATAAGAAAAGGAAAAGGCTGATGACAAGGATTTTACTCCTAGCTGCTAACTCTGGAGCTGATCAATTTTCCTTTTCCAAATATAAAATTAAAATAAAACATTCTTACTCTATCTTTTCACAGGCTTCTCTGCACCAGTGTTGCATCTTAGAGAAGTGTGTGTGACCATAGCTGGGTTTAGCTCTAGGATCACTGCAGGAAAGGGTAGTGATTAAGAAAATGGACTCTGGAATAGCAAACACTGCCTTGAATACAGAACCAGGCTTTGTTAGCTGAGTAGCTTTGTACAAGTTTCTGCATCCCTCTGAGCCTTAGTTGTTTTTTTTTTTTTTCTATTAAATAAGGATAACAGCACCCCCACAAAGAGTTGCATTGAGACTTAAATTGAGATAATTTAGAGACCAAGCTTAGCACAGTGAATGGCATATAGTGAGTGCTTAATAAATACTGAGAAGGCATGGAGGGCCCCACTAAATTATAGATGTTCTATATTTATGAATAATGATCATCATATGTTCCTTTTTATCTGTCAGAATATTATCTTTATTAAGAAAAAAAAAGGAAGGACAATTCACATAGAGTCTGAGATCCCAGGTCAGGACATGCTTTTGATGTCCACTGGTGAGTTCCCATAGGTATGAAGATGGAGAGGCTTCCAAATGCAAAAACATGTGACAGCTGTAGGAGTTAGGGTTTAGTCCTCCCTGGAAACTAAGAATCTGTTATATCCTATAGAAACAACCTGTTCCTTCTTTTATGTGTGTTTGAGTCCAACAATGTACACAACACCTGTGCAGAAAACCCCCTTGGTTACCTCTGGCTATAACATATAAACCTGTACCAGGTGTCAACTACCAGGACTCAGAGTTGGCAGAATACAGTTATCTTATAGAACCACGGGGCCCCAGGCTAGCAGCCAGAATGTCACAGCTAGAAGGTTGTGTGGTTACTTCTCTGCTTCTTCCCCTAGATCCAATCTCTGCTCTGTCTGACCTACTTTATGCCCAGGGAATCTGAAGACTATTGAATCTATCTCCTGATTTTGCCCTCTGACTTTTGCTTAATTTTCCACGGGTGCTAGCAGAAAACCAGAAGTCGGGAGTTAAGAGGGGTTAGGGTATTTATCCTGCTCAATCCCTGTTTATCTGCCACAGTTCATATGTTCTTTTAAGGCCACAGCTCTTGTCAGGCCCACTCCACTATTGCCAGGTTCCAGTGACACTGCTCTTTCTTATTGCCATTGTAGGCCTAGGAGTGGTAATTTATACCTTCCTCCCTTGTTGGGAGTATTATGTGTACTTGTAATAATGGGCCTTTGCTCCTAACAGTAAATAATATTTCTATGTCCCTCAAATATGTTCTTTCATGTGTTATGTAAATCTTTACTCTTCTTCCCACTTGCTCTCATAAGTTTGAGTGGAGGGAATTTTTACTTATTTTTAGCAGTTGGAGAAGATGGGGTTGCTTGTGACACCTGCTGATGGAAGTCCACTAAAACCAGTACTATATAGAAGTCATACCTCTGAGTTATTTAACTGTGGATCTGTTCATTTTTCTCAATGAAATATCTGATACCAGAAACTAGAAATAAAATATCTCCCTTTTTCTATCCCCAAGCCAGCTATTGACTTAAGGTTAAAAAAAAATAATAATAATAATAATTGACACCATGCTGTTACCTTGTACCACACAACATCAGGCTCCTGATCGGACTTTTTAAAATCATCCATGTCTGGGCAGGAGATCTCCTTTCTTTTAGTGACTTCAGATTTTTCTAAATAGCGTATCCTGCTATTGTAGCACAGGCCTGATTCATTCTCTGCAACAGTCAAGGACATTGACACCTTCATGCAATATGTCGAGTTTCTGTAGAAACAGAGAAATAGCAAAATGGCTTTACTGGGTGTTTAAAACTTTGTACTCTATATATTTCAAGAATATTTACCTTTCCATATAGGACCTTGCCTAGAAATCAGAAACAACATCAAACCAACACAGAACAGTTTTCCATTTCAACTGACAGGAAGATATAAAACAAAATGTAATGAGGACATCTCTGACCATGAAGTAGCTACATAGAGCAGCTGTACCCATCTTCTAAACTATAAGACAATTCAGACTTCCTCCCCACTGGTAAATATTGCCACATTGAAGATCTGATAGTGAAGACTTATGAGAAAGTCTGTATTTAGAGCTACAGTTATTTCTGCCCTGTCCCTATGGCCAGTCCCTTCACAGGTATTCCAAGAGTTGTTTGATTTTGTCATTGGTTTCAAAGCCAACATTTACTTTTTCAAGATACATACCCCAAACCAGATCAACATACAGAAGATACCTGTTAACTTACATAGCTTTTTAAAGTGTTTACTGAGATATGTCAGGAATCAAATTCTGGATTCCTATAAAGAACAAATCCTAGGGGCGCCTGGGTGGCTCAGTCGTTAAGCGTCTGCCTTCGGCTCAGGTCATGATCCCAGGGTCCTGGGATCGAGCCCCACATCGGGCTCCCTGCTCAGCGGGAGGCCTGCTTCTCCCTCTCCCCCTGCTTGTGTTCCCTCTCTGGCTGTATCTCTCTCTGTCAAATAAATAAATAAAATCTTAAAAAAAAAAAAAAAAAAAGAACAAATCCTAGTATAATGTGGTTGGTCTAGATTAATTGTATCCACCAACATTAGCATTATAAAGGAATTTCAACATGAATTTTACCATAAGGCTACTTTAGAAGTTGGGCATTAATTGGCTAACTCATGATGTAAGGGTAGTTATGGAATTCAATTCTGCTTCCATTTCCTTGTGTATGCCCCATGATTTTTCCCTACACTGACTGGACTGCAGAACATATCAATCACACAAAAGAAAACTGGAAAGTGTGAGGAAGAGAGCAGAAGTACCTGGTAAGACTTAGCAGAAAGTCAACTGTAAATCTCTTGGTGGGACATGTCAGGATCATATCTGTTCTAAACATCAAGGGATACCTGCTATTACAAATACCAAGTGCCAAGGGCACTTCAAAACCAAGTGTTTTTACAACCAAGGGGTAGCAATCCTGACAGATGGGATTAGCATGCCAGCCAATAATTTAAGATGGCCTCAAAGAATTGTCAATATTCATACTACTTACTCATTGAAATTCCACAATATGCCAGATATACAAAAAACAGAAGTGCAAATGGTCACTGCCCACTGGGTTTACAAACGGAGTCAATCAAAATGACTGCTACTTAAATTTTTAGTGAAGTCAATTGCTGGCAAGTACTTCTGACTATGCCCATGCCTATGTCATCTGAGTAGGATACTATCAAAGTACTCTCATTCTAATATTCAGTTGCAACCCCATTACACAATGAAGATTGTGAGCTATTGCTTTTGTCTGTTCCTCAGTGTAGGTTCCTAGAACTCAAGGCTATGCCCACTAGGGATCAAATGTAAGACCATTTAATTATCTTGTTAGATGTCTGACAGCCCCTTTAAAAAACATGAAGCTAAAAGCCACCAGAATAAAAGAAAAACAAAACAAAACAAAAATAGTCTCAGGCAAGAAGGTAATGTTTGGTGCAATTTGGCTCTTCTTGACCCCACCTTCACTACTTTGGTGCTAAACATTTCTATGTGTCCATGCTTCCTTTAAGGCCCTACATGATCTGGCCTGTCATAACACTGTCCTTTACTTTAGTGTACAGGCACAATGGCATTCCCTCTGTTCCTTAAATATACTACACCTATTTGAGCCAGGGACTTTTACACTTGCTCTTCTCTCTGAACTTCTATCATTTATTTGTTAAATGTAAGCATGGAATTTGTTGCTTTTGTTCATCACTCTATCCCTGAGATCTAAATGAATAAACAGTAGATGTTCAGTAAATGTTGGCTGAATAGAAGAGAGGGCATCAAAGGTATGTCGATTGATGAGACATGTTCTCTCTGCTTTACTTTTGCATCAATCCCCTTATAATAACCTCTCTTCCTCATTCTACAGATTCAGGTATATAGCTGGTCAGATGTCACATTTCTTATTTAAATATGACTCAGGATAATTTTGCAGGTATTCTTGTACTACAAGGGTAAGGTTTAGCCAAGTTTTGTGCATCAGCATATTAGCAAATAAAGAATATACTAGTTACAACTAGGAGACAAGAAGGACTAAGGTAGGTATAGGAAATGGAGGGAAGATAAATGGTCAGTTTTTTTAAAGGTATTGAACACAGAAGAAAGAGTCACCTCTTGGGTTTACAAAGTATTCTGAACAGTTCTTAATGTTACAGACTTTGATCATATCTGCTCTATGGTGTTCATCCCTTTGGATGAAAGAGAATTACTTGTTAAATACCTTCCCATTATTATGGTGTGCCCCCAGGGAAAGAGAGCTGTTGGCCAGCAGTCTCAACAATAAAAGCAGATAGAATGTCCAGTGCCCTGAAAGAAGCTTACTATCCCAAATGTATTTAGCCCGAGGGAGAAAACATATATTCTAAGTAAGGGGCCAACATAATAGAGTGGTTTCCTAACAAAGCACCAGCTTTGAACTAAGATCCACTGGGTTCAACTAGTTCTGTGTCCTTGAAAAAGTCATGTAACATCATTCAGTCTCAGTTTCCTCAGCTGAAAAATGAGGATAAGAAGTCCTTTATGGTGGGGCGCCTTGGGTGGCTCAGATGGTTAAGCGTCTGCCTTTGGCTCAGGTCATGATCCCAGGGTCCTGGGATCGAGTCCCGCATCGGGCTCCCGGCTCCGCGGGGAGCCTGCTTCTCCCTCTGGCCCTCTCCCCTCTCAAGCTGTTTCTCTCTCGCTTGCTCGCTCTCTAAAAAATAAATAGATAAAATCTTTAAAAAAAAAAAAAAAGAAGTCCTTTATGGTAATTCCATTGGAGGTTGGAGACAGGAATTCCTTTCATTATACAGCCATGAGCAAATATATGTTTACCATTTTCAGTTGGAATGATTACAATAACTGACCTCTCCAGTTTGTTGTAACTATTAAGCCAAATAATATATAAAACATATAGTAGAGCATCTAGCACATAGTAGGTATTTGATAAATTGTAGTTAGAATCGCTACTACTGTTAGGATTAGTTGTTACATATTGTTAATAAATAATAATTATAATTTACATGTGATATAATAATAACAATCAATCACCAGTATAATAAAAACAATACATTGGCAGCAATGGGTGAAGGTATGCCACTGGGTTAAGGGTGCTACTTTATAGGAATGAGTCTAAAAGAAGCCAGTTGGGCAACAGGCCTAGTACCAGAGGGCCATGAAAATTTGAAAGGATCAAAAAGATACACTGACATAGACACAAAAAGAAGTGAATCAAAAGAAAACAGCTAAGGCAGGGAGAAACTTCCAGTTAATATGAGCAGTAGCTACTTGGCAAAGGCCAGAACCTTGGAGGTCAAATTGTTAGCAAGAGTTTCACTAAGACTTTTGGGAATTTCTTAGACAAATGCCTTCTATAATAAAGTCAAGGCCTCTAGGTAAATTTTCCAGGGACAAAAGACAAAAGATACTCTATGTGTTCCTTCCTCAACCCCTCCAAATTATAAACTATGCAGGCCATGCCAACAGCACCTTCATTAACCTGGGATGGGGATGAGGGCAGGAAACCCAAATAGGGGATGGCTGATAGGCTGAAAGAGAAAATGTTTCAGTTTTCTCTCACCCAAAGAAAACCTTAGGCTTGGGCTCTGCATGAATTCATTCTTGCTCTGGTCTCTAGCATGTGGAAGGCTTCTAACAAATTGCTTGTTAACCCATGAACAAGCCCCAGTATAAAGTCCTTGATGATGACCAAGGTCCCTGGAACTCAAAGACAAGGCCATGTGTGAGTCCTACTGTCTCCATCACTGACCTGGGGTTGGTATGATCAAGGCTGCCTGACAGTCTAAGACTCAGGTTCATTTTTATTAGTTGTGTAATCCAGCCCTGGCACAGTTCCTGCTAACAATCTTGCATTATTTAGATTTTATTTAGAAAAATGCCCCAGGCCAGTTCTATTTAAAATGTTTCCTGCAACTGGGACCTAGAAATGTTACTTTTCTTTCATTAGGTACAATTAGAGCTGTGCAAGTTTGAGGAGGCAGACTGGCAAGTGTGCAACAATGAGGATTCTAACTTTTTTCTGACCTCCCTTCACATCCTGAGGAGGACAAGGAGAACATTCAGGCTCAATATGAGCAAAGGGCATTTGCAGTGATATTACAGAAAGGCCTTACAATTGCATGCACTTCTAATCTTTTAAGTACTTCCACATCTCTTATCTTACTTAATTCTGCCAATAATCCAGGAAATTGTACAGGTTAAGTTTCATCTACACTTTGCAGAGGAGTAAAATGTAGACACAGAGAGGACAAATAATTCAGTTAAGCCCATATAGCTGGTTAACAGATCAGAACCAAGGTTTTGGCTGTTAGCCCCTGGCTACTCTCAGACCTTGATGTTAATATGGGTTAACAACCAAACTAACTTGTGGTTATCCATACAAACTTGGGAAAGCTCATAGAAAGAAATGTATATGTGTAAAGATAACATATAAGAATAATGTTAATATGCACAGCACAAAATAATTTGCACAAATTTATGAATAAACCTCACTTCCTATTCCAAAATTTTCATGTTAACTACTTTAGGTCATAATTTATACTTTTTTTCCAGAAGTATTTCTAAGGGAAAATGTTGATCAATCTTGGGTTCCCTGACAGGAAAAGTAAGATCCAGGATTTAAAACATACATGAAGAGAGAAAAGTGACCACTTTCTGGAAGGTAGGACATGCGGAGAAGTGAATCCGAGGCGATATTCGGGAAGATAGACGGAGGGGGATGGGAGCCGCTACTGGGAAGTGATAGAGCCACAGAGCACAAA